TTACAAAGATTAAATTAAGTATTATAGAGTGCCTAGGACATAGTGACACACAATAAAGTGATGTCAGTCGGTGGAGTACAGTGTTGTGTACGTCTTACCATACAGTGATCAAGTTAGACCCAAAGGAAGTAGGAGGACTGTGGGAGACTCCCCCCCCCCAACCGCCATGTCCCAGCAGACAGTCTGTCCTGGTGCTGGGGAAGTGAGGAGGGAGTACAGATAACTATGTTCTAGATATGTGCTGATATTCAGATGGGCCAGCAGAGCTCTTACATTCAATTTCTTTACCTTAATGGTAGATTTGTCAGTGTTGCCCTATCATAGAACAAACTTTGTATGGTTTCAGTTAATGCAGATTTCATGGTTGTCTTCCCTTAGGCACAGTGTTCTTTTGCTTTGGGACAACATTCAGTCTTCTCTTCATTGCAGAAACAACCCATTCTTTCACTCCACCTGTTTATTATCATCTACTTTGTCAGGTGTGGGCTTTACTTTCTTAGGATAGATACGCAGCTGTCAAATAATACACGTCTGTTGTGCTGTGCCTGGAAAATTCAGAAAAACATAAAGAAAAACAAAGTAGAATGGCCTCCAGTTCCATCCAGAGATGGCCACTCTTCACAACTCGTTTCATAATCTTTTATTTATTTATTTATTTTACTTAATAGTGTGTCATGGGCACATTTTCCAGCCACCCTGGTGTTGGGCAGATCTTCTACAACTTAGGGGATGGTTGAGCCACAGCCCCTTAGCTTCAACACATCCGCCCAGGCAGCCCTGGGTCCAGCAGGAGGCAGTGTGGACGTGGATCTCAGTGGCCTTCTCGCTTGGGTTGACCCTTACATGTGCCATCTGTTTATTGCTGGAGTTGGATTTGGTGCCTCTGGTGCCCTTATTTAGAGAGCTACCTGTGGACCTTCCGTGAGCTCACCAGGTACTAAAAGACTGCCTCTCAGTCCTTCCATGGAGGAAATGGGCCCCACAGAGAATCTGCCCAGCAGGGTCATTCATCAAAAAGAATTAGGTGTGTTTATGTATCCCGGCATAAGAAATCTCCTGAGTTTATTATTAATTTTACTCGCCCAAGCTCAAAACCGCAAGCAAGGGAAATGACTTCACCCTCTGGACCACAGACCAGAGGCAGTTGGAAGCCGTGGTAGAAAAGCTCTCAGGAAGGAAGGCTGGGGCTAAAGCTGGGTTAGGGTTATCTCTATTGATGTGCAGCCTGACGCCCGCAGAAGTTAAATTATCAGCCAAAACAAGTTGGGAGGGTAGATAGAAAACAGCGGAAGTAGGACACAAACCTAGGACTTACCGACTCCAGAGCCCACGCCAACACCTACAATCACGAAGTTTATCCTGCTTTTCAGATTCTGACCTAAAATTTCAACTTTTGGGCCAGGAATGGTGGCATATGTCATCCCAGCACGAGGGAGCTATGGCAGGAAGATTCTCCAGGTGTCTGAGGCCAGCCTGGGCTCCACAGTGAGCACGAAGCCAGGCTGGATTGCATAGGGAGACCCTGTCTCAGGAAATCACAAACAAAAACCCAACAAGCTAGCCCTGGAATTTGTACAATGTTTAAAAGATTGTTTTTCTTTATCAATTTGTAAGTAACATAAGGGTCAAGTTAATGCATCAGTAAATTAGCATCAGGAAATTCTGCATGGAAGAAGGAAACTTTTTGATGTTTTATAACATTAACAACATTAAAACAAAGTTCATGTTTTCAAAAAGTAATTGTGGATAGGTGTAGTGACATACACCTGTAATCAGGCAGGAGGATCACGAAAGTTCTAGGCTAGCCTGCTGGTAGC